TAGCCAGCCCTTTACCTGTGCTGTGAGGTGGCACTGATGGGCTCTGCATTAGAGACGAGGCCCCCAAGGACAGGAGGGCGGGCCTTGATGAACGGGCTGAGCTGGCCACAGGGGCACCCATGTTGGGCTAGGGCCTAAGTCTCAGCCCCTCACTACTGTGGCTTGGTAGGGACCCTCCAAGTCCTGGTGTGTAAGCCTCCCTGGGTTCCTTTCCCAGCCCCACCCTCGGCCCCAGCTAGGCTTGGACTTGACTTAGTATTTAGAGGTGGCAGCCTTGATCAAATCTGGGCCATTTCAACTACCAACCCTCTCCTGTCCCAAAGATGAAGACCCCGGGGGCAGTTGCTCTTTTGTTCAGTGACCCAGTGGACTCAGGGGAGGTGGCAGGGCCTGATCCCCTTTAGCCAAGCCGGCTCCCATGGAATTAATAGGAAGCTCTATCCACCTGTCCAATTTCAAGGCTACCCCAGGAACGGGATAATCTATAATCTTAATAACGCAGAGCGGTGTCTTCCCTGCTACCGCCAGCCCTGATGACCAACACAAAGGCAACTTTAACTCATCGATGGCCTCAGATGGTGGATGTTTAACGCCACGTGGGATAGGAAGGAAAGACCTGTGGGTGGGAGGAGGCTTCCAGAGAAGCCGATTTTCCAGCGGGTCTCAGCCAACTCACGAAACAAATTCATTTTTTAAGATCGTCTGGTGTAGGCGGGTGTCTACTTTGTCCGCAGGCAGGCCTGACCCTGGGTGGGGGCGGGGGCAGAGCAGAGAATAACAATTGTCTTAAGGGAGTCTGCAGAGGGAGAAAAACCTCTGGGGTGTATGGGCTGGAAAAGAATAGGCGTCTCAGTGTGGTCCCTCTCCCCCCTCTCAGCCCAGCCCCTGTGAGAGCGCTGGGGAGCATCGGTCAGCGTACACAGCTGGGGCCTCCAGCAAAATCCCATTCTATATATCTAAGAGCAACGGCTCGGAGAGCAGCCCCCAGAAGGACAAAACCTCATTGTGAGGCGCCCGCCAGCATGGACATCCCATCCCCCAACCCCAGAACTGTCGTGGCATTGACCCTCCTCAGCGGGCCACCATGGGCCTGCTGACTGGGCCACATGTGGGGCTCGGGCTCCAGCCGTCCCTCCCCCATGGCTGGCTACTGAAGATGAAGAGGCAGGCCATGGGTGGGAGCAGTTTCTGGGGCTCTCATCCTCTCCCCATTGAGCAGCCTGATGTGTGCCCACCTCCTCTGGTGGCCACTGCCAGGCAAAGCTGTAAGCTCCAGGTTTGCTAGGTTGGATCTTGACCTGTCAGCAAGTCCCCCTCCCTTCTGGGCCTCAGGTTTGTCACTGGTCAGTGGTGGGGTGGGATAGTTCTTTCCCAACTCGCAGTTACTGTGTCTAAGGGTCCTGAGACACTGCGAGTCGAGTCCTCTGTCATGGGTTGATTCGCTGCATCTGGGATTCAGAATTCTCCGCTTCCAAGGTTTCCAGGATCCAGGATTCTGTACTATGAAGATATCGGGATCTCTTCATTCAACATGTTTCCTGAACACCTACTATGCACCAGGTAGTCCTCCTCTATACTGAAGATACAGCAGTGACCAAGACAGAAAGATTGCTTGTCCTCCTAAGGCTTCTGTTCTTGAAGAAGGATGCTAAGCAAACTAACTAAAAATCTTAGATGTGGGGACCAGCAGTTAGCGTAATGATTACGTCTCTGGACTCCCATGTAGAGGACCGTGGTTCCAGTCCTAGACCCAGTGGCTTAAACTCATGCCGGGAATATGTGTGTGCGTGCCCAAGATCCCAAAGAGAATGGAAGAGAAAGGATTGTGGTGTGGTCATCCCCCCTGCAGGGTGATTTCTCACTTTCTATCTCCCTGTCTCTCTCTCTCTGTCTTTCTGGTGAGCGCACGCGCCCTCTAGCAAAAACCTCTCATAAATAAATAAATAAATAAATAAATAAATCTTCGCTGTGGATGTGGTGAGGAAGGCTTAGGTGGGAAGGAAGGGCCTAGGACAGGGGAACTGCTCTAGGCCGGGATGTCAGGGGGGTGACATGTGAAGTGAGACCTGACTGCTAAGAAGGAACCATCCATGTGGGGACAAGCATTGCAGACAGATGGAAGAGCCCATGCGAAGACCTTGTGGCAAGTGTGAGCCTGGCACGTTCGTGAAATGCCACAGAGGCCTTGGTGGCTGTGGCTTTGTGAGCAATGGGAAGAATGGTAGGATCTGAGATCAGCAGTCCAGGCAGGACGAAATCATACAGGGAAGCCAAGGGAAGCCAAGGCAAGAGGTTCAGATGCTGCTCTGAGTGCAGAGGGAAACTACTGGTTCTAGCTAAAGGAGTGACATGACCTGATTTTTTTTTCTTTAGCTGTTTGTCACAGGGTGTGTGCACTTGCCAGAGACAGAGACGTGAGAGGGAAAGTGAGAAATCACCTCCTGGAGGGATGGCCATACTGCAACTCCTCCTCCTCCATTCTCCTCTTGGGATTTTGGGTATGCATGCACATGTGCGAGACATGTTTCAAGCCACCAAATCTGGGACTCGAACCTCAGTTGGGTATGTGGGAATCCAGCACCTTAACCAATATGCCACCTGCTGCCCATTCCTATTTCTAAAAGGGTGTTTGGGGGCCAGCTGGACTCTTACATGTCTAACCGTGATTCAAGTCCTGAACGTGGTGACCTGCTTTCTCACTTTCTCTCGTGAATGAATGTGCCCTATAGAAAATTTAAAGTAATAATAATAAATAACATTAAATATTTTTTCTTTCTTTTTTTTTTTCTTGGAGAGATTTTCTTTTTGCTACACGGCACGTGCGCTCACCAGAAAGACAGAGAGAGACAGAGACAGAGAGACAGAAAGTGAGAAATTATCCCCAGGGGGGATGGCCACACCGCAATCCCTTCTCCTCCATTCTCCTCTCAGGATCTTGGGCATGCACGCACACGTGCCCAGCGTGAGTTTAATCCACCGAGTCTGGGATTCGAACCACAATTGACTACATGGGAGTCCAGTGACATAGCCAATACACTAACTGCTGGTCCCATAACGTTAAATCATTTTTAAAGGGGTGTTTGGGGGCCAGCCAGTGGTATGGTGATTAGGGTGCTTGATCCCATGCGGCCAACTGTACGGTTTGAATCTCCGACCTGATGGCTTGAAAGTGCTGGGCGAGTGTGTATGCATGTCCAAAATCCTGAGAGGAGACTGGAGGAAAGGACTGCAGAGTAGCCATCTCAGGGGGGTGGGGGGGTGATTTCTCACTTTCCCTCTCTTGTCTCTCCCCAGAGAGTGCACTCTCTGGCAAAAAAAAAAAAAAAAGAAAAAAGAAAGAAAGAAAGAAAGGTGTTTGGGGTGGGCACGGAGATGAGGGAGGAGAGACACTGTGCAATAGGCTGGGCAGAGCTGAGGAGGCACTCACAAGGGGGCGCTGGGGATCAGGCGGTGGGTGGTCCAGGACTGAAGACTTGGGTGAAACCCTTGGATCTCGCTCTACCAGACAGGCCAGCAGTGAACGCGAGTGCAGATTCCTGGGCCAGCCAGGATTCTGGCTCTGAACGCTCATGACCTTGAAACTCTCAGGGCTGCCCTGGCTAATACCGTAGCCACACGTGACTATTAAAGTTGAATGACAATGAAATAAAATCGAGAAGTCAGCCCCTCAGTTTCAGCAGCCTCATTGCAAGGGCCCGGCAGCCTCCGGCTAGTGACTGCATAGAGACCATTCCCATCGGCACAGAAGGTCCTCCCTGACGGCCCTTCCTCGGGCAGTACAGTCTCTGAAGCCTAGTGTCACTCACCTGTAAAATGCAGCCGGCAGTAGTGTCTCCGCGGTAGGGTCCCTGTGGGGATGGAAGATGATGCCTGTAACGTGCTTCATACAAAGCTGGCACATAAATGTTCAGTAATGCGGGTTGTTACTTTTACACGAGAGGGACTGAGCATGACCCTGAGTTTGGTTCTGAAAAATCGAAGCTTTAGAAAACGGGTATCACTGGGAACTAGCAGTTAGCTAATGGCCATGTCGCTGGACTCCCACGTACGTAGTCGACCGTGGTTCGCGTTCCGGACCGGATGGCTTAAAACTCATGCCGGGCACCTGTGCGTGCGTGCCCAAGATCCGGAGAGGAGAATGGAGGAGAAGGAATTGCGGTGTGACCATCCCCCCTGGGGG